AAATGTTTTATGACGTGACAGAACTGTCTATATAAACCTACTTGTTACTGAAATCGTGGCTGGTTCTCTTTGGAGACGGGCCGCTCTCTATTGTTGTGTGCACTCTTCAATAAAGAGCTTGTGATTGGACCTTGCTGGTGTTGCCTGTCTCTTTGAAGTCAGACAACAAACCGAAGCCGTCTGGGTTCGAGTCCCCGACAAGATGTATTCTTGAACGAATGTACTCATAGACAGAGACAGACAGACACACCATTTGTAAAAGCGGCGAGGAGTCCTGTGGCACCTTATAGACTAACCGAAGTGTTGAAGCATAAGCTTTCGTGGGCAAAGATCCACTTCGTCAGATGCATGTAGCTAAAGCTCTTGCTGTGCAACTGGACAAAGTTCTAGGACAGTTCCTCAGATTTGTCATCTAAAAAAAATGGTTCAGGTTCTCTCACATCATCACCTGTGAAGACAAATGCTAAGAATTTATTTTGTTTGTCCGCAATGACCTTATCTCTGAGTGCTCCTTTAAGCATCTCAACCATTCAGTAGCTCCCACTAGTTGTTTAGCAGATTTCCTGTTTCTGATGTTAAAATTTTTTTTTACTATTACTTTTTGGAATTTTTGGCTAGTTGTTCTTCAAATTCCTTTTTGGCCTCCCTAAATTATATTTTTACACTTCATTTGAAAGTTTATGCTCCTTCCTATTTTCATCTCTGAGTACATCTACACTGCACCGTTATTTCGAGATAACTAACATTATTTCGAAATAATGCAAGCATCTACACAACCATTCCATTATTTTGAAATAATTTCAAAATGTAAAACTCATTCCACGAGGAACAACACCTATTCCAAAATAAGGCGTGTGTAGACACTCCACTACTGCTATTTTGAAATAGTTCCCCATCAGGACCATTCTAAGTTGTTCTTTGCCAGTGTCTCCTGGAGCTCTAAATAGAGATAGCATGTTTAGATTAGGGAAGCCTGCTTCAGACTAATTTTGAGGCTTACCTGCTATGCAGACATGCTATTTTGAAATAAGCTGTTTTGGAATAGTTATTCCGAAACAGCTTATTTCAAAATAAGTGTGCAGTATAGACATACCCTCTAGGATTTAACTTTCACTTTTTAATGCAAGTTTACACATTTTTTGCTTGGTTGTAAAGCCTCAATAGCACTTTTTTGTTCTCAAACTGGTTTTTTTTTTTTTTTTTTTTTTTCAGTTTAGGATATACATTTATATCCAGAGTTCTCACTTTTGGCACTATACCTTTTAATTTCTGTTTATGTAACTTCATTTTTGTATAGTTGCCCTTTTTAAAATTAAAGTGTTGGGTTGCTGTGGTGTTTTTCCTGCTACAGAGGTGTTAAATTTATTTATATTATAGTCACTATTTCCAAGTGGTACAGGCATATACACCTCTTGACCCAGATCCTGAGCTCCACTTAGGATTAAATCAAGAAATGTGTCTCCTCTTGCGGGTTCCAAAACCAGCTGCTCCAAGAAGTAGTCATTTAAGGTATAAAGAAACTTCATCTCCCGGAAGTGACATTTACCGTCAATAAGACAGATGAAATCACCCATTATTATTGATGTTTATTTTATTTTCATAGCTTCTTTAATCTCCCTTGGCATTTCACAATCACTATCACCATCCTTGTCAGGTGGTCAGTAATATATCCTTACTGCTATATTCATATTATTAAAGCACAGAATTATGATCCATAAAAATTCTATGAAACAGTTTTGTTCATTTAAGATTTTTACTCAATTTTATTCTATGCTTTCTTTCACATATAATGCCACTTTCCTACCAGCAAGACTGGTTCTGTCCTTCCTAGACCAGGGGCAGGCAACAAAATGGTGGTGGTTCACCAGGGTTAGGTCACTGCTGCTATATTTATCTACATATTTGCAGGTATGGGCAATCACACCTCCCAATGGACAGGAACAGTGCTCCATAGCCAACAGGAACTGTGATCCCTTGTACTTGTGGAGACGCAGGTAAATACAGTAGTGTGGGGGCCTGCTAGCAGATAAATCTGGTATACCAGATCTGGCTTGTGGGCCGTTATTGGCTCAACCTTGGCCTACATTGTCTTGAACAAAGTACAGCTCCCCTTTCTCTGGGAGGATTCCATTTTCCTAACTTAGAAAATTATTGAATCTCTTTGTTACGCCATACGTCTTTGCTGCTAACAGATAAGACCCCACAGACCCCACCTTGGCTTTAGACTGATGAGAATTGGTAAACCATCTCCCGCCTTTCAAACATAATAGGATCAAATTATTAGACATTGCATGGCTTCAGAGCTCCCCTGCTCCAGAAAATGAAAATATCTCTAAGTTTTCCGGCCAATGGGAAGTGTGATGACTGTGCTGGTGGCAGGGGAAGTGAGCGAAATCTCCCCTGCACACAAACAACACAGCCCTTAGAGGCACATGCCCCAACAGCCAACCACTTTGAGTGGCCGAGGACTGCAGCAGACAGGGTCCAACCCATTGTTTATATTTTGCCCATCCCTGCCCTACACTGACACAGAACAAAGTATATTTCAGTGGTCCCCAATGCAGTGCCCGCAGGGGCATTTATATGCGCCCGCTGAATGATCTGGGTCGGCTCTGCCATGGGCGCGTGGCACATGTGCGATGCTAGCCCCTGGGCGTACGGCGTATGGGCGGCCCCTGCCTCGGGCGCGCGGCACATGTGCCGGCCCCGGGCACATGGGCAGCTCCTGCCCCTGGACATGTGAGCGGCCCCAAAAGGTTGGGGACCACTGGTATATTTAGACCACTGCTAACAAGATGTTTGTCTAACTTTCTCTTAAAAACCTTGTACTGTGGAGATTTCATAACCTTCCTTGGTAACGTATTACAGTAACTATCTATCCTTATAGTTAGAAAGCTTTTCCTAATATCTAACCTAAATCTCCCTCTGATGAAGGTTATGGCAATTATTTCTTGCCCTACCCTTTATCCGACAGAGAAAACAATTGATCACAATTCTCTTTCTAGCAGTCCTTAACATATTTTGACAACTGTCACACTGCTCCTCACTCAGTCTTCCTCTCTCAAAACTGAACACAACCATTTTTTAGCATTTCCTCCCAGGCAAGCTATTCTACATTTGTGCATCATTTTTTTTTTGCTTATCTCTGGACTATATCCAGTTTGTCCTAACATTTCTTGAAATGGGGTGCCTGAAACTAGAAACACTACTCCAGCAGAAGCCTTCCAATGGCCAAATAGGACAAAACAATAACCTCTATTTTCTTACATACAGTGTTTCTGTCATTAAATACCAGAATATTAGTCTTTTTGACATCTTCATATTGTTGGCTAATATTCAATCTGTGATACACCAGACCCTCTGACCCTTTTCAATAGTATTACTAACCTAGTCTGCTGTGTTTCATTTTGAAGTTCTGAGTTATTATTATTTTTTAATTTCCTAAGGGTAGTACTTGCACTTTATTGAATTTCACCCTCTTGATTTCAGAATGTATCAAGGTGATTTTGAACTCTCATACTGACCTTCAAAGCACTTGCAAACTGTCCCAGCTGGAAGTTACATTCAAATTTTATAAACATATACTCTATTTCATCATTCAAGTACCGTATATACTCGAGTATAAGTCGACCCGAATATAAGCCGAGGCACCTAATTTTACCACAAAGAACTGGGAAAAAATATTGACTCGAGTATAAGCCTAGGGTAGGAAATGAGGCAGCTACTGGTAAATGTAAAAAATGAAGATAGATACCAATAAAATTACATGAATATTTATTTCAAAGAAAAACAATAACCTAGCTCTGTAAGTGGAAAAGGGGGTCAACAAAAACAATATGGTATCAAAAATACCGTAACTTTAAAAGTACAACAACCTTAGCTCAATCAGCAACCAAGCTCAATCAGCTCCCCATAGCTCTTTTCCTCAGGTGTCCCGGCTTCCTAGCTGTTTTCGTGTTTTTAGCTGAGGGAAACTTGCAGATGGCAACTCCCTCTCCACATATACCATTCCCCCGACACAGAGGATAAAATATTTCCACAATCCCTGGGCAGATCCTGCTTTCCATAAGGATTTTATCTTTTCCATTCAGGCCCCTTACCTTATCTCTTCAGCCTGCGCCGAGCCGCGCTTCTGCCTCCGGACCCGCCCCCTGCCCACAGCACAGTGACAAGCCAATCACTGGCAGTCACTGTGCAGCCAACAAGCCTATGTATGTGCGCTGTTCATCGCACATACATAGAGCTTTCAGATCTCAGAAATTGACATGAGATACTTTGATGATGAATTTACAGCGCAGTCCATAACAGTAACACCTCTTGACAGATACGACAACCTGGATGCCTTAGAACCTGACCAGCATACTCACTTTCCTCAGTTCTCGAGACGCTGACTCGAGTATAAGCCGAGGGGGGCATTTTTCAGCACAAAAAATGTACTGAAAAACTCGGCTTATACTCGAGTATATACGGTAATTAATGACAATACTGAACAGTACTAGATCCAGGACTGATCCCTGAAGGAGTCCACTACATATATCCTCGCAGTCTGACAGCAAATCATGGATAATTATCCTGATTATGATCTGTCAACCAGTTGGGTATTGCTCTTATAGTAACATAACCTAGATTCATATTTCCCTAGTTTGCTCATGAGAATGACATGTAGGACTGTATCAAAAGCCTTGTTAAAAATCAAGATAAATCATGAGTACAGCTCCCACTGCATCAACTAGGACAGTAACCTATCAAAGAAAGAAATTGGGTTGGTTTGACATGATTTGTTCTTGACACACTAGCTTTTACCTATCATGCTATTATTCTCAAGGTGCTTTCAAATTAATTATTTAATACTTTGTTCCAATATCTTTCCAGATACAGAATTTAGGCAGACTGGAATCATTGCCCAGGTCCTTTGTTCCCCTGTTTAAAAACTGGTACTATTTTTGTCAACAAGTGAAACAAGTATGTTTTTAAAAGTTGTATATTTGCACAGTTTGTACCTTAACTGGACTAGCTATTTCTTCTACTTGGTGAAGCTTTTCTTTAATTTCTTCAAGTTTATGCTCTGCCACTCGTAGAATATTTTTCAATTCTTCCATTTTTCCCCTTTGTTGTTGCATATCCTGCTTAACAGATTCCATCTTATGCCTGTTCTCTTGAGCTTCATCTTCCTGTTGGCATATAAATACAGATTTGAAAATTAAGAGAAAAAAATACCACTCTTGGTCACTACACAAGATTTTAATTTCAGAATTACTTTTATGGCTGTGAAATTACATGCAACAATGTATTCAACTCTATAATAAGAATGAATATGCATCAATAGGTTAACACACCCAGGAGGGGGATATTGCTGGGAGTTGTTGAAGACCACCAAATGAAAGATGAGAACTTGAGTTACTCCTCAGGCACCTATCTATAAGGTATGGAAAGAAAAAATTTATTTCAAGGGACTCAATTTAAGAGACATTTGCTGAGGTCTCATACAATGAATGTTAAAACATCAGAGTTTCAAAAATCAGATGAAAGATTTAGCACAAAAACTGTTACACTAAACATGAAGTAAGTATTCTGAACATAATTTCCTGGATACCAATGAGTTAATCACTGGATGTTGGTGATTGACTACAAACTAGTTATCGTGAACTATTACATTCAATATGAGCAAACAGAGAACAGCCCCCACCAGTAATATTAACACACACACACAAATGCACAGCTTCAAAAAGGGCTGAGAAAAGTTGAGACATTGATGTGGAGGGGGGGAAAAAGTGAAAAAAGTGATAATTCTTTAAGAAGAGTTTATTGAATGGCCATAAATTCATAAACATATCTGTGCTGTCCTGGAAAGAAGCAGAATGATGTATTTGTATCACATGAGGGATGAAGCTTTTTTTCCAGTCCATTAGACGAAGAGGAATATCTATTAGATAAAAAACTACACACTACCCACAACTTAAAATGGGTGAAAGGAATTTGCACCAACAGTGCCTAAATCAGCTGGCTGAAGTGATTTCTAGTGCACTGATGTTCATTTTTAATAAATCTTAAAATACCAAGGAAATTCAAGAAGACTGGAAGAATGCTAATGTGTCAATACTTAAAAAGGGCAAACACAATGACACAGTTAACTACAGGCAGGTTAGAGTGATCTAAGTCATAAACAAAACAATGGAAAAGCTGGCATGCATTTAATTAATAAACAATTAAAAGCATAATATCTTTAATGCTAGTCAACATGCTTTCATGGAAAATAACTAGTCAAACAAACCTTTAATAAAAACAAAAATTTAGCTGATCAAGGTAACTGGGCAGATGTCATATACTTAGAATTATATAAGGCATTTGACTTAGTACCACTCTACACAATATTTATAAACTACATGATAAATTGATTAAGGACTGACTGGCAGATCTTAAAAGTAACTCGAAACAGGGAATCATTATTAAATGGGATGTTTCTAGGGTTGCCAGCTCTGACTAAAGCTATGTCGGGAGATATTTTCCCCAACATTATCTACTGTCATTTTCTTAAAATAGTCTATTAAAATCTCCAGGATTGTTTTCAATAGTAACTGGCAGACTGATGCCAATTTCAGGAGACTCTAGGCCAATCCTGGATGGTTAGCAACCCTATATATTTCTAGTGGGGCTCTGCTGTAATTGGTACTAGGGCCAATGCTATCATGTTACAATTTAAAAGAATGCTGTCATTATGAAGATGACTTTACAGTCATCTTGGTCTGTAAAGAGAACATTAGACAAAATAAGTTACCTCATTTGCCCAGGTACAGGAGAAAAACTCTTCAACATTTTCAGTGATTATCTCAAAGTAAATAATAAATTGCATATGAAACAGATTAGGGGACTGGTAAATAATGAGGGCAGGAAAGTCCTACAAAGCAATATGGATTGCCACTAAATTGGGGTCTATACAAATAAGATGTATTTTAATGTAGTAAAAAGTTGTTATACACCAAGGAACAAAGAACGCAGAATACAGAATGGGAGACTGCCAACTGAGAACCAGAACTCAGTCAGATTTAAAAGTCATAGTAAGCAAGCAAGCTTCACAGTGTAAATAAGGGAGCTATGTAGCTTTAACATTCCTGGTCAGTGGGGTGTGAGATGTTCATCTCTGCCTAGGAGAAGTGACACTTGGAGCTGAAAGCCAAAAGGTGGGTGCTGTTGGTGGACCAAGGAAGAGAAACAGATGAAGTTACCATGAAACTGACACTGTGTACAATTCTAGCATCCACATTTTTAAAAGAATTTTGAAAAATTGGAGAGCGTACAAAAAAGTGACAGAGATGATATGAAGGTGAGAGAAAATGTATTGTGAGGCTTAAAGAGCTGAATCTTTTTAGTTTATCAGAAATATGATTGAAGGGTGATTCAAAGAAACTATTGGGTACTAATAGGCTTTTTAATCTAGCACAGAAAAAAGTAAGAAGAACCAATATCTAGAAACTGAACCCGACAAACAATCTAGAAGCCAGACACAATTTTTAAATATATTAATTTTTTTAGACAAGGATGATTAATTATTGGAACAAAGAGAAAAGGTGGATTTTTTCTCTTTTTGGGTACATCTAAACTGCACGGTTATTTTGGGATAGTGGAGTATCCTGAAATAGCTATCCCGTGTCTTAACAGCAAGCCCGTTATTTCGGGCTCACTGTTCCAACGCCCCTGTAAACCTCATTCTACGAGGAATAAGGAACATTTCAGAATACCGTTTTATTTCAAAATTTGGCACTGCGTAGACAGTACCAAATGCTTAAATAAGCTATTTCAAAATAGCATTGAATTAAGATAGCAGTTTGCATAACTCAATCTTAGTATCTTATTTGAGTTATGGTGCAGTGTAGATGCATCCGTAGTCTCCAGATCAAGATATGTTCTTTTGTGGAAGACGTGCTTTAGCCAAACACAAATTATCATTACTAGCATTTAAAGAATAGTATTATACATCAATGTGAGAAAGAATACAGTAATCATTCTTACTAATGTAGAGATGTCTACTGACTGGGGTTCTTCTACATTCTCAAGATCAGTTATTTCTATGTTTAGTCTTCTTATTTTGAACTGAAAAAGGAAACAATTTTTTCTTAGCACATTACAGGTACAAAATCCATATTACAACAAGCACATTTTGATCCGAGGAGAAGGAGATATCTTATATTATTCCAACCCCTGAAAATTACATACATTTAAAAAAAACAAACACACTCCCAACAATGAAGCCAAATTTTTTTTTTGAGGGAGAAAAAAAAATTGAGTAAAACTTCTGCATATTACTTTTAAAAAATCCAATAGTTTAATTTTGTTCCATGAACTCGTATGACTGCTTATGTGCACTTTAGTACACATACTTCCATACATAAGCAACTGTTTACTTGGTAACTGGACCATCATTGCTCGATATAACTGAACTGTAGATGCTAGCCTACTATAAAGAGGCATTCAGAGAAGAAGAAAAATGACTGATTGGAAAGAGATTCATAAGCGAAGCTAAAAATAGGTAAGTGCCTCCCAGCCAGAGTCTGCCTCTGGTACCCCACCCCTTTTCTCTCCCAACTACTTGCCCCAGGTTACCACCCAAGCCCTCTGTATCCCCTCTCCCTGCTTCCTCCAGGTCACAACTCCCACCGAGACCCTACACCCACTCAAACACCACCCCAGGCCAGAATCCTCTCTTGCACCCTTCCTGACTCCGTACTCTGTTTCCCTGCCCCAGGTCACCCCCAAAACCTTCTGTACCTCTTTTCCCCCCTTTTCTCCAGGTCACAACTCCCTCCCAGACCTTGCACTCCCTCATATAGCCTTCTCCCAGGTCAGAGTCTTCTCCTGCACCCACACCCCCTCCTGGACCCAGCACCCCAAGCCACTGCCCCAGATCATAGCCTCCTCCTTCACCCAAACTCCAGACTCGTCTCAGACTCCACACACTCTCCTACACCCCAGTCCCGTTCTGTACCCAACCTCCATTCCAGACCCTCTCCACAGAAGTGCAGCCCTTAACCATTTACCAAAATCATTAAAAATTATTGCCCACCCCTGGTTAGGCACTAGTATGTGTCACATGATTTTATTTTATTTGTATCCCTTTGTTTACAATACAGAATACTCACATTTATTCAAAATGCTATCATCAGAACTGCTGCATTATTTGAATTCCTTCCTTGTCCCATAGGATGCATCATTTAGCCTGAGGGAGGACAAGGAAGGGATTCAGATAATGTGGAGGTTCAGATAACATAGCAGAGAGCCTGCTGCTGAATGGGAGTGTAGGGAGCCTACTGTCATGAAAGTGAGCAAGCTTTGGGACCATGATAGTAGAGCTGCAGAAGGCTTCTTGTGCTGCTGTACAGCTGTTGACACCCACCAGCACCTTGAAGTACAAAGTGCAGGAAAGCTGTGGTCCTAGCTAGAGAGCTCTGCTCTGGCTCAACAGGTCTGCAGCTTCCCTCTGTATCTTAAACATGCAAAGACATGTTATCAGCCTTGCAGGGAGACCTTTGCAGTCCCAGTCAGGGTCTGGAGTAATGGGAGAGCACCCCTTTAACTAGGACCGCCAGGAAGATGGCTCTGGAGGACGACAATCCGACTGCTGACTGGATAAACGGCTTTTGCCTTCTTACATAAGAACATAAGAATGGCTGTAGTGGGTCAGACCAAAGGTCCATCTAGCCCAGTATCCTGTCTGCCGACAATGGCCAGCACCAGGTGCCCCAGAGAGGGTGGACCAAAGACAATAATCAAGCGATTTGTCTCCTGCCATCCCTCTCCAGCCTCTGACAAACAGAGGCCAAGGACACCATTTTATCCCCTGGCTAATAGCCTTTTATGGACCTAACCTCCATGAAATTATCTAGCTTCTCTTTAAACTCTATTATAGTCCTAGCCTTCACAGCCTCCTCCGGCAAGGAGTTCCACAGGTTGACTACACGCTGTGTGAAGAAGAACTTTCTTTTATTAGATTAAACTTTCTTGATTATCCTAATGCCTGATTATGAGAGTCCATACTATTATGACAAGTGCGGGTATACTATATTTGTTTATCATTTGATTCTCTATTTTTTTATTAAATAAAACGTATACTTGACTTTTGTTATGTATCTATCTATGTGCTGTCCATTATGCATCTCTGTGTTAAGCTGTAATGTACTGCTCCTTTGGGAACAATAGGTTTGGTAATTATGTGAATACCCAATGTGGGGGGCTCAACATTGCATGGGACTGGTCGAAGGTTTTGGGGACTGGAGTATGCCTACTATCAGCTGCATGAGCCTGCATATGTGTGTGTGGGGGGAGAGAGGGGCGGGGGTGTCGCCTGTAGTTTGGAGTCAAGGAGCTGACCCTAGCAGGTACAGAGAAGGGTTCCTCACATTAAAAAATAGATGTTAGCAAGGTGCCTCAAAACGCTGAATAACCCTAAGAAGTGTGTGATAGGACAGACAGACCCCGCACTGAAGGATGGGGAGTAGCCGAGGCCCATCCAGCTCTGCTGGGCATCTCCCAGCAGAGCCCAAGTATAAAGGCAGAGAGCCCTGCAGCGAGGAAGGCTGCTGGGGGAAGGAATAGGTATTTCTGCAGCAGCTGAGACCCGAGTCGCCACCCGCAGCCAACCCCGGAACCAAGTCACAAACCACCAGCCCCTGGGAGGCAGGAGTGCCTGCAGCCTCAACGCCAGCCCCAGTAAGGACCAATCTGGGAAGCCAGAAGACTGTGGGGGTACCAGGGTGTGGTAGGAAGCAGCCCAGGGCAGAGGACTAATAGCGTGGCTCGGTGTGTACCGGCTGGATTCCCTGCCGAGCAGGCAGGAGCCATAGTTTCTACCTAAAGGGCCCTGGGCTGGGACCCAGTGGAGAGGGAGGGCCTAGGTCCAGCTACCACCCTTTTCCCTCTCCTGGACAATCAACCCCCTGGCTGGGAGAGGCTTTTCAGGTGACTAGGCCTCAAGGACAGTCTATCCCGAAAGAGGGACCTGAACAACTTTATGACTAGGCTGCAAGGGCCGTGTATGCGTTAGTAGCCAATCAGAGAGCCAGGACAGGTGGCCCCAAAGCCGAGGGGGGATGCGCCCCTCAACAAAATGTCACAATATTATTAAAGAGTGAAGGATGCAAATTCTAAACAGAAAGAGAACTTAAAGATATTTATGATTTCTTCAAACAAGGATTGAATGTGATGACATTTTTTAAAAAATAGATTAAGGATCAGAGATACATACTCTAGAAAACAGTAATTATTATATTGGTCACACAAGGAAAGTGAATACCCTAACTTTTAATAATAATTTACCTCGGGAAAACTCATAAAAATATGGTGGTGTGAGCATTTATAAAACTGCAAGGGGAGAATACTAGCTTCATAACGCAATGACACTAGAGCCTGAGACTCTGCACATTTTGAAACAAAAGCATGCTTTCGTTCTGTGAAAAAAAAAATATGAAAATCACTTGTTTAAAAGTGCATGGTGACTAATACAATAGGCTAAAACAGCTGCATTTAATTTAGCATTTACTATTAAATATTTCTACCTGCAATTCTTTTTGTTTTCTACGATGGTGATTAAGATACTCTTCATTCTGTCTTGTCTCGTTTTCAGTGGCACGTAAACAATGCTGAGATGATGATAACTGTGACATTTTGTTTTCAACTTCTTTCTGCAAGTGACTAAAACAAACTTTATCATAAGATCATATACTCTCCAATTACAAATTCTACCAAATAATAGCTATAAAACTAGCATTCTGATACTGGCTCTCCTGACCAATATGAGAGATTGAGTGTTTTATCTTTAATTCATAATTGGTTATCATCAGACAGCTATTTTGTATTCTCTGTTCAGTCCCTAGTGGGTACTGCACTCATGTCAATTAAACTACCATCTTATTAAGAATTGTTATTTACAGACTTAGCAGAAAAAATAAGTACCTGAACTAGCACACTTTAAGGCCAGATTGTTACTTTGTTCCAACCAAAGTTCTAAATCAATTAAAATAGTCACTAGTTAGTATGGAGAAACTTGGCTTTCTGCCTCCCACACTTGTTTTTTTTAAGAAGAATTTCAGTCCTTAGGAGAGTCAATATAGCACTTTAGCGAGCAGTAAATTCACTTGGAAAAAACCAGACATTCTGGATAACCTTCATATATAGTGGACAAATACTCATATATAGCTTTTGTAACTGGAAATTGTAGCAGAAGCATCTCAGCTGACAGCAAAAATCACTTTCTGCATGCATATTTCAATATGGGCTTCAGTGTTCATATTTAAAAGAAACAACAGATTAAACCTTATATTGAGATCATGTTTAATAATGTTTATAGTATAAGAACTAATAAAACAATTTTTATAACATAAAAGACTAAATGAAATGACACACTTATCCTTTCTATTACATTTTAAGGGAGACTTGGGCTTTTAAAAGACAAACCTCTCTCTCTACTCTCAGAATTTGCAACAAAAATATTGTAGTATTTTGGTAACAACTGAAAACTTGAAAGAAGTGGTGGACTAGAAACTGACTATCAAAATAAGAGAAGGTGACTGGTTTATTTTAATAATCTAAACGGAAAAAATACCAATACTAAACACCATCTTAAGAGCAAAAAGTTATTAGAATGCAAAAATCGTTAAATATCATTGTGTTATTAGTTAAAGAGACTTCTTTTAAATACACTCTAAATTCAACACTATCTGCATTATAGCTTAGTCCCAAAAATAAAAGTATTTTAATGATATTAATTGGGGTGGTCAAAAAAGTTACCACCACCACCTTTGAAATCTTTCAAGAGTAAATGCTGGTTTCCTTTTAAAGCTTGCTGTTTTGAAAAAGTAGACTCTCCAGAATAATCAAGATGCCTACATATATTTGCCTGTAGCTCAGCCAAATGCTTGGAACTGAGGTCTGGTCAACACCACAGTTTAAGTCAACACATGGCAGCTTACATTGACCTACCAAAAAATTCTTATCCAATCTTATTAAATCAAGTACAGTAAACTTCCGATAATCCGGCACCTTTAGGACCCAGTGGGTCCCGGATTATCAGATTTGCCGGACTATCGGAAAGGGAGGCTATGAGGGGTCTGGGGTGGGGAGGGATGCCACTCCAGACCCCTCATAGCCTCCCTTTCCGATAGTCCGGCTCTGCCCCAGGTGTCCCAAGTCAGCTGCTGCTGATACTGACCAGCGGCTGACTGCAGGAAGCCCGAGGCAGAGCTGCTCTGCCCCGGCTTCCTAGAGTCAGCCGCTGGTCAGTATCAGCAGCAGCTGACTTGGGACACCTGGGGCAGAGCCGGACTATCGGAAAGGGAGGCTATGAGGGGTCTGGGGTGGGGAGGGATGCCACTCCAGACCCCTCATAGCCTCCCTTTCCGATAGTCCGGCTCTGCCCCAGGTGTCCCAAGTCAGCTGCTGCTGATACTGACCAGCGGCTGACTGCAGGAAGCCCGAGGCAGAGCTGCTCTGCCCCGGCTTCCTAGAGTCAGCCGCTGGGCAGTTTCAACAGCAGCTGAATCAGGACACCAGGGGAAGAGCAGCTGAGGGGCTGACGGGTTGGTCTGGTAGCGCCAACCCTTGGCGCTGCGAGACCAACCCGGCAGCACGCCAGCTGCTCTACCCCAGGTGTCCCCAAGTCAGCCGCTGCTTAAACTGATCAGGGGCTGATTCCAGGAAGCCCGAGGCAGAGCAGCTCTGTCTCTGGCTTCCTGGAGTCAGCCGCTGATCAGTTTCAGCAGCGGCTGCATCGTGGACCGCTGGGGTGCTGCCGGGTTAGTCCCGCAGCCCGGAGGGGCAGCGCCCCAGCTGCTCTGCCCCGGCTTCCCCGATTCAGCCGCTGGTCAGTTTTAGCAGCGGCTGAATCAGGGAAGCTAGGGGCAGATCAGCTCCAATGGTCCAGCTGCTCAGAGCACTTCCGGGTTCCTGATGGTGCCGGACCATCAGGAGTGCCGGACCATCTGACGCCAGACCATCGGAGCTTTACTGTACATATTTTACAGAAGTATCTTGTATAATAGATTCATATTCTTTACTTCCTTCTTAATTGTTCTGCGCTTGTGGCATGTGGATACGGCCCAAATACATTGGATTTGCAGAGGCAGTATACTTTGAGAAATCCAGTCAATGATGATGTAGTTAGGTTGACACAGCAACAGTGTAGAAACTACTCTTATATAGACTATTATTGGTTTTCAGAAGCTATCCCAAAATGCCCAATACTGACAGTACAATTGATACAAGTACTCTTGATGAGGATGTACACCACTAACACAATACAACATGCATAGTCAATGCAATTATTGCAGTGGCTGTTTGCCAACATAAATTAGCTTGACTTAATTTTGTAGTATAGACATGTCCTAACAAAATAGCTACAACCCTTTTAACATAGGGCATTTGGAATAGAAACACTAAGTTATCTTATTTTCAACCTAAGCATTACTCAATTTCACAGTATTTTTTGAGAGACCCTTCAGCTTGCTCTTTGACCAAGATTGCAAAATGAAAGGAAGGTAACTAGATTTCTCATAGAATACTGGCTCTGCAAATCCCATGTAACTGGGCCATATCCACATGCCACAAGCTCAAAAACAATTAAGAAGGAAGTCAAGAATATGAATCTATTACACAAGATACTCCTGACCAATCTGATTAGCTTCTATGATGAGGTAACTGGCTCTGTGGACGTGGGAAAGTCAGTGGATGTGATATACCTTGACTTTAGCAAGGCTTTTGATACTGTCTTCCACAATATTCTTGCCAGCAAGTTAAGGGAATGTGGATTGGATAAATGAACAGTAAGATGGATAGAAAGATGGCTAGAAGGCCAGTCCCAGTGGGTAGTGATCAACGGCTCGATGTTAGGATGGTGATCGGTTTCCAGCGGAGTGCCCAAAGGTTCGGTTCTAGGACCGGTTTTGTTTAATATCTTTATTAATGACCTGGATGAGGGGATGGATTGCACCCTCAGCAAGTTTGTGGATGACACTAAGATAGGGGGAGAGGTACAGGGAGAGGTAGATATGCTTGAGGGCAGAGATAGGATCCAGAGTGACTTAGACAAATTGGAGGATTGGGCCACAAGAAATCTGATGCGGTTCAACAAGGACAAGTGCAGAGTCCTGCACTTGGGATGGAAGAATCCCAAGCATTGTTACAGGCTGGGGACCAACCAGCTAAGTAGTAGTTCTGCAGAAAAGGACCAGGGGGTTACAGCGGATGAGAAGCTGGATATGAGTCAAGAGCCAAGACGGCTAATGGCATATTAGGTTGCATTAAGAGGAGCATTGCCAGCAGATTCCCCTTTATTCGGCTCTAGTGAGGCCACATCTGGAGTACTGTGTCCAGTTCTGGGCCCCCCACTACAAAAAGGATGTGGACGCATTGGAGAGGGCCCAGAGGGCAACCAAAAATGATTAGGGGGCTGGAGCATATGACCTATGAGGAGAGGCTGAGGGAGTGAAGCGAAGAGTGAGGGGGGATTTGATAGCAGCCTTCAACTTCCTGAAGGGATGTTCCAAAGAGGATGGAGAAAGGCTGTTCTCATTAGTGACAGATGGCAGAACAAGGAGCAATGGTCTCAAGTTGTAGTGGGAGAGGTCCACGTTGGATATTAGGAAAAACTTTTTCACTAGGAAGGTAGTTACCTAAGGAAGGAATGGGTTACCTAAGGAAGTAGTGAAGTCTCAATCCCTAGAGGTGTTGAAGTCTCGGCTTGACAAAGCCCTGGCCAGGTTGATTTAGTTGGGATTGGTCCTGCCTAGAGCAGGGGGCTGGACTTGATGACCTTCTGAGGTCTCTTCCAGCTCTATGGTTCTATGAAAATATATACCTGATTTAATGAGATTGGATAAGAATTTTTTTCCCCACAAGGAAAGAAGTGTGATGCAGGCACTGGCATGGAGTTAAATCTATAGAAAAAGAGAGGTCAACTGAAGAGAGGGGTATCTTTTTCTACAACACAGAGGGGAGTAGAATTGTTAAAGGTTAACCAGTAAGCTATAGCTGCTTACTAATTATGGTTATCCATTGGGGGCTGCAGCAGTCCTCCGCCCACTGCAGGCAGGTGGTACTCAAGCCACAGAGGGCGCCAGCCCTACCTCCATTTAACCAGTTAACTAATTAAACAGGACTTTACATCCTAGAGAGGAGAAGTTTATTTTTAATATTTTGTGCTATAAAACACTCCAACTCCTCAAGCAGTAGAGTGACAAAGAGCAAAAGGTATTACTTCTAACATCTTAAAAGAGAATACTTTGTATTTCAAGCAATACATGACACTAACCTTATTTCTGCTTCCACATCTTTACTTAGGTATTTGGGCCTGGTATTATCAGATGAATAATAACGTCTTTCAAACACTTGATCACCCTCTGCAGTAAAGGCTTCTCTACAGTTTTTTGGAGGCCTGTTCTTCTGCATTACTAGACGAGCCTGTTGATTACTCTGAAAAACACAATGTATCCTCTTATAAAAAATACTCACAATGGCTAACAAACAGAAATGTTATCTATGTGCCTGATCCTTAAAAGTACCCACAAGTCTCACTACTACTACTTTTGGAAAAATACTCCATAACCAACATACAGAAAGTTGTACTAGTTTCATCATACCACCTTATTCACACCTTCAGTAAAATTAATGCAGTTTGTGCCAGATGAGTACAGATTTTTGGGACAATACAAGTTGAATATATTTCTCTTCAGGTTATACGGGGAGGTTACTCACTTGGTAACTCCAGTTACTGCACAAGATGAGTAACCTTCCCCCCTTTTTCAAGGAGCCACCTTGAGACGACTACGAAGCAGTATTCATGTTCAGTGGTGAGTGCTTCAGTGAATTTAACTTGATAACTGCATGTATTGTTAGGCCAAAATGCATATCGGCATCTGAAAACTGGATAGCATATTGCTGCACGAAGGTATGTGCTGAACCTCATGTGGCAGCTCTGCGGATTTCTTCTGTTGGTATGCCCTAGAGGAAAGCAGTTGTTGCTGCCATTGCTCTTGTGGAGTGAGCCCGTATGGCTGACAGACTCCTTTTAGAATATGTTGTACGCTAGGTGTATGCAGTCCAAGATCCATTTAGAGAATCTTTGTTTAGATATGGGTAACCCTTTTGATCTCTCTGTAAATGACACAAATAGTCACAGAGATTTTCGAAAGGGTACTTGTAAGTACAAGGTGACTGCCCTGCAGACATTAAGGATGTGTAGCACCCTTTGCTTTAGGGAAGACGACAGGAAAGCTGGGGAGGAATCTGGGGTGAGTACAGAGGACCACTCTGTCCCTATGAAATATTGTGTATAGAGGGTCTGCCATTAGTGCTCCTAGCTTGCCCACTCTTCTTGCAAAGGTAACTGCAACTAGAAAGGCGACCTTCACTGATAGATTTAGAAGGGAACAGATGGCTAATGGCTCAAAGCACTTAACTATTAGTGCCCTAAAGACAAGGTTGAGGTCCCATGCTGGAATTGGGTCTCTCTGCTGTGGAAACATGTTGTGTAGGCCCCAGAGGAATCTCTTGATGGATGGATGAGTGAAAACAGAATAGCCCTGTATTGGCAGATGTAGTGCCGTTATGGCAGCGAGATGTACTTTAACTGAACTTAATGACAGTCCTGAATTGTATAGTTCTAGCAGGTAAGTACTTTTGAAACCCCAGTCTCTATTGGAGTGCAGTTCTGTTTTGAACACCAACTGTGAAGTGACGCCATTTTTGTTTGTATGTTTTTCTGGTTGCAGGTCTGCAACAGTTCACAAGTATTTACTGCACTTCCTCGGGGTATGCCACTTCTGCTAGTGTCAACCAATCACCATCAATGCATGAAGATGGAATGTGAGGACATCTGGGTGATGCATCTGCCCTTTCTGTTGTATAAGCAGAAATCAGACCAGAGGAATGCAGGATGGTGGATGTACACTCATCTGCAGCAGGGAAGGATGCCAGATTTGCCTGGGACAACTTGGGGCTATGAGTATGGCTTTGGCTTTGTCCTGCTTGATTTTCAGAATAGTGCGCTGAATCAGCAGAAAGGGTGGGAACGTGTATAAGAGGGGTGCTTTCCAATTTATGCTGAACATGTCCTCCAAGGATTGGGGACCCATGCCCATTCTGGAGCAATAATACGGGCACCTCTTGTTTTTGTGAGGTGCAAAGAGGTCTACCAGTGGAAATCCCCAATTCTGAAACAGATGGTTCAGTATGGTGGGGTTGATCTCCCACTTGTGCCTGTGCAGGAAGTTTCTGCTGAGACTGTCTGCCAGGACCTTGTCCTTGCCTGGGAGGTAGGTTGCAATCAGTCTTGTTTCTCGGGATGCACCATTTCCAGTTTCACCATTTGCCAACATAACTGGTAAGAGTAAGCTCCCCGTTGTCAATTCATATAACACGTTTGTGACATTGTCTATTAATATCTGGACTATTTTGTTCTGGATCAGTGGCAAAAACTGAACAAACACATTGTGCACTGCCCTGAGATGGAGTAGATTTATGTGTTTGTTCGCCTTCTCCTTTTCCCACTGGACTTGTATAACGTGTTTGCCCAGATGGGTTCCCCGGCCCATTAGAGAGGCATCTGTCATAATTGTTAATGTTGCAGATGGATGCTGGAAAGGGACCCCTCTGCACACATTGTGGTGTAATGTCCACCATGTGAGGGTGGACTTTATTTTGTTTGGCATGGAGAGGTGTCTGTTTATATGGTGTATGTGTGGCCTGTACACTGTCCTTAGCCAGGCCTGCAAGGGTCTCATGTGCAGCCGAGTATCTGGAGCTACAAACATGGCTGCTGCCACATATCCCAGAAGTTGTAGGCAGTGACATGATGTTACAGATGGGCTGGCTTGTGCCAGGGATATCAGGTCCTTGATAGCTGCAAAACCGTGTTCTGCTAGTGATGCTATTGCTTTCCTGCAGACCAAGTGCACTCTATAAATTCTATCATCGGAGTGGGCGTGATGGCACACTTTCCCAGATTTATTTGTAGGCCCTGAGTGTTGAACATTGTTCTGCTGTCTGCTACTGCCTGCTCTGTGTTACATGCCATGGGGCCTTTTAGCAGCCAATCATCTAGGTATGGGAATATTGTGATGCCCCCTTTCCTTAGGTGGGTAGTCACCACTGCCAGTACCTTTGAGAAGACCGCTGGGGCTGCTGAGAGCCTGAAAGGCAACACTTTGTACTGGAAACGTAGATCTCCTAGTGCAAACTGCAGAAACCATCTGTGGGATGGATGTATTGAGATGTGAAAATACGCATCCTGAAGGCCGAGGGTAGGGAGCATACATCCTTTTTCCAAGGCAGGAATGATGGTGGCTAGGATTACCATATTGAAATGTTGATAATGAACTTGAAATGTTGAGTTTTCGGAGATCTAAGATCGGTCTCCAACCCTGACTTCTTGATGGTGAGGAAGTAGTTAAGTAGCATCCCTTCTCCCTGCGTTCTGGTGGTACCTCTTCTATAGTCCTGGCCCCACAAACCCTTTAATGGGGATAAAGACAGGGGGAGGGGGAGGTGGAGAGACCTGCATGTGACATAGTGAATTCTCTGGTACAGCACCAGTCAGGTTCTAAGGGTGCCAGACTGGAGAAGCTCAACATGTACTAATTTTTTACAAATAACTATTGTCAAAAATACGTGATAAAAACCACATGGGAAGCTCTGACTCTTGTATGAAGCAAGCAAACAGGGTTGGGGAGATGCAGCCTTTATGTAGCCATAGGAGGGGCTGAGGACCAGAAGAGGGCACTGCTAAAAAAGTTCTCTGGCTTCAATGCATTCACCAGGTGTGTATCTAAGAATATTAAATAGAATACATCTGCAGCCATTAAAAAATACCTTGTTTCTATATGTAACTGGGGGCAGCAAGAAGCAATCAGGTTGCTTTTTTTATTATGATTACAAAAAAACTCATTAGTATCTTAATTCATTTGAAAATTTGTAACAAACTAATATGGCATTTCTGTCCTACCTTAATTAGCAGGATTGTTTCTATACTCCTCATGTCAATCAAACAATTAGCAATCACTGCATTATCTATTTCTAAAGCTGTAAGGACTGATGGGAATTCTGGATGGTGAACTGCCCTACAAGAAAAAACAAAACAAAACTGAAATGTACATATTTAAGCCATTGAACCTGCTTTACAAATTCATGTGACCAAACGTTAGAAAATGCTTTGTACACTGGAATTACTATTAAGCCATTTGGTTCAAGATTCCAAAGCAGAAATTTTATTCAAAACTTGGAGCTCACCTGTGTTTGACATCATAAACTTCATTTCGAAACCTACTAACAATTATTTGGGGCCGATATCCAGATGTATAAAACTTTGACATCAGTGTCTGAAGTGTTCTCTCATCCCGATGATTATCACAACAAAATGCTTGCAGTAGGCTTTTTAAACAAGTTTCAACAGCCAAAGTAAGTTCAGCATCTTTGAGACAAATGAAAGCACCTAGTATACACAAAAGATAAGACTTCAGAGGTACATACAAGCGCAGTGAAAATGTAACTATTCTTTACTTTTGTTTTTTTTAAACCAACATTTGAAAACATTTAAAATTTTTAAGATCAGGTTAGGTTTCCAAAGCAATAATAGTTTTCTTACATGCAAATTTATCTTTTCACAAATACTTTGAGAAGCAGATCGAAAGTTAAATGAATACTAGAAAATGGCTAAATAATAAGACCACAAAGATAAAGACACTATATAAATCCATGGTACACCCACGGCTTGAATACTGCGTGCAGTTTGGGTCATTCCAGCTCAAAAAAAAAAAAAAAATTTTAATTGAAAAAGGTACTGTGAAGAGCAACAAAAACAATTAGCAGTATGGAAGAGGAAGTTACTCACTCTTGAAGTAACAATTATTCTTCGAGATGTGCTCCATGGGTGCTCCACTCTAGGTGTCGGGTCCCATCCTAGCGCCGCGGCTTGGAGATTTCTCATAGCCATGCTCCGCGGCTCGCGCATGCGTGCTTCCCTAGCAAGGCGTTCACGCCTTTGATCAGTTGCACGTGAACCATATGACATGTTTCCAAAAACGTCGTGCCTCTGATGAGGCAATCGTCCAAATAGGGGAAGATTGTCACTCCCAATCTGCGCAGATGGGCCACAACCATTACCAACGTTTTGGTGAAAACCCTGGGAGCACATGCCAGACCGAAGGGCAGAGCTTTGTATTGATAGTGCTCATTCCCCAATTGAAAACGGAGGAAATGTCTGTGAGCCACATGGACAGCTATGTGGAAAAAAGCATCCCGTAAGTCGAGGACTGCAAGCCAATCCCCTTTGTTCAACAACGGAATGATAGTTGTTAAGGTTACCATCTTGAAGCGAAACTTCTGAAGGTGTCGATTTAGCTTTCGAAGGTCTAGAATGGGTCTCCAGCCTCCCGACTTTTTTGGTGTGAGAAAATATCGGGAATAAAAGCCTTTTCCCAAGAACTGTTTGGGAGCTCTCTCTAATGACCCAATGTTGAGCAAACATTAAACTTCCTGTTGTAGCAGTTGCTCGAGAGAGGGGTCCCTGAAAAAGGATGGGGCAGAGGGAGTGGCAGGGGGAATAGAGAAAAAGGGAATGGAAAGGCCGGACTACACTATTTCTAGTACCCATCTGTCCATGGTGATGTCGGACCAACGATGGTAAAATGACCGTAGGCGATGATGAAAAAGTTGGATAGTCTCGTCTTCCGTGCTGATTGCGGGTAGCTGGCTTGCATCCTCGACAGACAAGTCAAATTTGCTGCTTAGTTGACGACTGATTGGTCGAACGGGCCTATGGGGTTGTTTGCGCTGAGGACATTGTCTAGGGCATTGATTGTCGAAGGGCATGACTGCTGTCTGAAGAAATAAAAATCATATCTTCGTTGATAAGGAAAATAACGTCTACGTTTGAAGGAGGGAGTGTACATCCCAAGTGTACGTAGAGTGGTGTATGAATCTTTTCCCGAGTGGAGGACTTCGTCGGTGTTCGCTGCAAAAAGCTTAAGCTTGTCAAACAGTAGGTCCTCAACCTTGCTTTGCATCTCCTTTGGGGCTCCTGCAGATGACAGCCATGATGATCTCCTCATGGCAATACCTGTGGCAGTAGCTCTAGCCGCTGTGTCAGCCACATCCATGGCTATCTGCAGTGCTGTACTACATGATGCGAACCCTTCTTGGACTATTGCCCTCAAGAGTGGCTTCTTGTTGTCCGGGAGATGATGAAGTAACTCCGCTAATTTGGAATAATTATCAAAATTAGGGTTTGATAGATGGGCCGAATAATTTGCGATGCACAGTAGAAGTGTAGCTGAGGAGTAGACCTGCCTATCAAAAATGTCCAATTTTTTATTGTCCTTGTCCGGAAGCATATTTTTGTACTATGGTGCTTTAGCCCTACATTGTGCTGCGTCCACTACTAACAAGTTAGGCTGAGGATGATTGAACAAGAAGTCCAATCCTTTCACCGATACAAAATATTTTGTTGGCCTTTTTACTCATAGGTGTAACCAATGTTGGGGTCTGCCATATCTCATCCGCCACTTCCATGATCGCATCATCAATAGGTAAGGCGATATTTGCTCTTTGTTGTGGATGAAGATTTTTCAAGAGACGTTGCTTTTTAACCGGAATATCCATTGGCTGTATTTCCTGTGTGCCCGCCACACGTTTAAAGAGGTCTTGGAATTGTCTCAGATCATCCGGTGGAGAGACGTCAGCTGGAAATATCGCCTCATCCGGAGATGACGAGGAGCAGTCTGCTGGAGAAGTTTCCAGTGTGGGGTCTTCAACTTCAGACAACTGCCCCTCTTCCAGCTCGAACTGGTCTAGTTGGATTGTTGGACTCTTAGATGGAGAAGGTGAGTCTAGGTGCTGTGATTGATGAGGTAAGTATTTTGCACTCAATGGTTGACAAATGCAGGAGGATCCCCTACCGGAGGACGATGTACGATCACACTGGGTACGATCATATGATCTATGGTAGCTGTCATAATAGCGCTCAGAACACAACAGGGAGGAGTGGCATGACGAGCGTGCTCTATCATGCTGGATATAATAGACACGGCATGGGGAGCGTCTACCAGGCTCGTATCTTGAGGATCGACTGGGTGAGTGGGACTGAACAGGACCGACGTGTTTCTAGATACACTGTGTCCCTATAATTACGCCGTCCATACGTGACCCGTGTAGGAGAAACACTATAGTCACGACAGCGACCGTACCTTCACGGTAAAAAATCTGGAGACAGGGATCTGTCTCTATAATGAGTCTTTGATAATGCCTTCCTATGTAGGGAGGTGTCTTCTGCCCTAACAGCCAGGCACCAAACAACAGTGGAGAAGTGCTGGGGAAAGCAGCTGTTGCTGCGTAGATGCTGGTGCTGGCAGTGTGTCCAGTGCCGGACTCAGCAGCGGTGCCGGGGTTGAGGCATCAAGACCTTCTGCCTCGGAGCCCGGTGCCAGAGGAGACGGTGCTGTGGAGGACGGTATTGCCAAAAGCGGGGCCAGTGAGGCAGGTGCTGTTATAGCCAGTGCCGCTGAAGCTGGTACAGAGCGGCTGGGGGAATGCGGGCACGGCGGC